TTTTTTTTTTTTTTTTTTTTTAGTTTTGTTTTGGTGAAGTGAACATTTATATTCTTCTTTTCCCATGGCTTTTCCCTCTTTTGGCTATGTTGCTCCCTTGGACTCCTGCTGGGAAAGTGGCATTGAACTTGCAGYGCTGAAAAGATGATTAATGATAGGCAAAACTGTATACAACATGCACTTTATTTGGGGGGGAGGAGCGTGCAGTGAAATGCTGCATTGGAGAATTCTAGGCAAATGGTGTGTGAAATTGTTGACAAATTGCSCTCATTAAACTCACTAAATGAATGCTTTCATGAGAACATTGGCTTGATATCACCATGTCTAATGTAACTTATACTTGAAATTGTGTGCGCTGCTATTCTTATCTTTTAAACCCTTGTAACAGCTTTAATGTCCTGATAAAGCCAACCATTGTAGCTGTCTTCACTGTTCAGTACATGGGATCTAAAGGGAAATTACTAAGGGTAACTTCCATAAGTGGTTTTGAATTATTCATTAATTTATTACTACTGGTCACCAGAGTTCATAAATGCCAAGAAATGGATTTAGAAATGCCTTAAGTTCCTCAGACTCTTTAACTTGATCCCTGTCAGTGAAACGGGCAGCAAAAGGACAAAAGTCACAAAAGCATCTGTTTTAGAAAATGCAACTTTGTATTCTGTTCAGCCTTGTTGATGGTTGGAAACTTTCACAAAAATTATGTCTCAAAGACAATGGTGTTTGTTGATCTAGGACATTGACCAGCTTTCAAGTAAGGTCAGTGTGCACTAGACACTTGCCTTACCAAGCTGAATTCTGGCCATCAGCCTAAATGTGCCCAGTTGGGCAAAGAATGAAGTGTGAAGCCATTTCAGGGAGAGCTGCCGGACTGCTGAGCCCTTCAGGGATGAAGGTCAGGCCATGGCCTGGTGCCAGGCTCGYACCACACACGGCGTGTGCGCGTCACCAGGTTCTACCATGGCAAAGGGAAACTATCCATGCAAAATGATGCCCCTGCTGACTGTTTACCTTTGATTAAGTAGTTCCTTTAGCTGCTTCAAAAGCATGGGAGACAACAGCCAATCCATTGATCCATCATCATCATTGAAAGATGATCCATGTGATGAAATGTTGAAAAATCTCTGTCCCAAACCAAATGTATACCATGCAGAAAATGATATAAGTATAGATATGAAGCTGTCTTTGTGTTGAAGACTGATGGTAATTTAGAAGAGGGATCATACTATAAGTAAGAAAATTGTGGCACAGATACATTGTCAACCACTGATCTGCTTGGGGTAAAGCCAGATATGGCTGGTCCTTCTTAGAGCTTACTCCAAGGAAAGCTGGAAACCATGCTGCCCAGTTTCCCACATTTTCAGATGATCTCCATCGCTTTGGAAAACTGTTTCCCTGAACGAGAATTCCTGAATGGTGTCCCTGAGGTAAAAATTTAGAATCTAAGATCTGTTCTGCGGCTGTGATATGCTGAAGCTGAAGCTTAGGTGGGAGGTTGCACTCTTTGCATTGTCATCAGATGTTATTCTAAGCAAAGTTTTGTGATGATGAATGGATGGCTGGACTCCTCCTGAAGCCAGCAGGGAGGGGGAGATTGTGTGGTGAAGGACAGAGTCTCATAAAATAGGAGAAGTATCAACCAAAATKGAATTGAAAAAAATGATGCTTCAGCTGTTGGCTCCCTTTGTAGTAAGACCCCTATAATATTTCTCTTAACTGCAAAGGACTTGCACAAGAGATTTAATATATATGAGCAAAAATCTTTAGAATAGTAGATCTGAATGTTAAAAAGGAAATGATACCTCATTTCCCAGAAGCAATTCACTGATTTAGTAGAGCCAGAAATTAACCCACTAGATGATGTCTTATGAAATTTCTGGAAGTATTAGATGCATGCTAATCGTGCTAGCTTTACATGCGGACACCATCCTTATGGCAAATTCCCAAATTAGTTATAGGGGCATGTGTCCTGGTTCTGGCTCAGAAAGGGTCAATTTTTCCTGGCAGTAGCCAGGAGGGACAGGGTCAGGACATTGAGGTTATTCCATAGCACATCAGGTCATGAGCAGGGGATGTGGTGCCGAAGGGATCCCTCCTGGTCACGTGGAGGGAAGGGAGTTGTGTGGGTAGCATTGTGTTCCTCGTGGTGAGCTCTTGTGTGTGAATCCCTCGGCTCTTGTACACTCTGTTATCAATACTGTTGCTGTTATTGCTAGTTTCTTATCTCACTGCTGTTTCCAGTAAGTTGTTCTAATCTCAGCCCATGATCTTTACCTTTGTGTCTCCACTTCTCCTCTCCAGCCCTTCACGGGGAGGGAGAAGGGAGAGTGAACAAGCAGTGCATGGTTTGGGGTCCTTCCGTGGGAACTCTACCTTGGGGAATACCATTCCTAAACCACGACAATATGGGACGAGGCATGCTGCATGTGGAGTGATGAAAACTGGAAAAGACAGGGGACATTTTCACTGAACTTGATGCACAGCACTCTAGAATCACTCTGCTGGAACATTTCCTAGCAGAGCACACAAACAAGTCTGTCCTGTTTTGCAAGGGGAAGTGCACGTGCTCTTCATGGGCTGATGTTGAACTGTTCCTTYGCACASAGACAGCTGCCATCGGTGTCCTCACGCTGATGTTCACACCTGAGCTTTGTTTCATCAGGTRGGTGCTGATGTCTACACAGACACACACTTTTCCTTAACTGTGGCACAGAAATCCAGCCTGCAGCACTGAAAGAGCTTCTTGTGCATGAYTYTTCACACACCCATTTTTCTTGGTGKACCACACTGCTGTTCACAARCCAAGCTGTGGTTCTTGGTTAAGAGTGCAGGATGGGGTGACAGTGGTGTTAACGTTACTGATACCAGAGTCACATTTGCTGGCTTTGCCTTTGGGAGAAGGAACATCTTTCTCCCAAAYTTGTTCTCAGTAGGTGCAAGCTGCCTCAGAAGAAACCTAGTTCAGCTCCATCTGTGAGTTGAGTGACCCAGTGACTGGGCAAGATATGATTCTGCCAGGCCTGTGACGAGATCTAGAGAGCAAAGAGACTTTTTTCCCTCCCTAAACCTTGTACAGAGCTATCTGTGAATTTTTCACGGAAAACTGAGGAAAGTCAATCCAAACTTGGAAGAAAATCCAGGCTGGCTGTGCAGGGAGTGACAGCACCAAGGCAAAATAAGGCATTTTGGCTGCAAGCTGGACAACTCAGGTAAGAAGCCTCAGAAMGTCCTGRAAGACAACAAAACCYTCTGATTGAAACTTGATTAAACTCMTGTTYATRTGGCTAAATTTTGCTGTCTCTCCTTATGAAAAGAAGAAGGAACTGGGAGGGAGCTCATCAGGGCTGAACAATTCAAGAGCCACTGCCTGTGAGTTTTGTTAGAATGTTTTGCATTAACATCAGTCTGAGGCAGAAGAATGGAACTGGCTGCAGCAGCGGCAAGCAACCAGAAGAAAATTGGTTCAGGGAATACTGATGAAGACTGAATGTAGAAGGAAGTTAGTGGAGATAAGTGCTGAGGAGAAAAATTCTGTGGAAATGCAAGAGTGTACTGGTTACCAGCTTGGGAGGAAAGACAGCAGAGGCASGAAGCAGGGAAGGAAGCCAGAAAGGTGAAAGTGAGCTTTGCAGAGCCTTTTGGCACAAAGGTGAAAGTGAGGTGTCTCTGGCATACATGGGGCACGAGAAGCTGAGAATACAGCTAGCCAGATGGGAAGAAAGGATGCAAAATGCAGGTTTGGTGTGTGGGTGTTATGGCACTGTTTGTGGGGTGGTGGTTAAAGCAGAAGAAGCAGTGCTTAGGGAGATGCAGTGGTCAGAAGAAGCTCGGTCTAATGCAGCATCCTCTGGTTGATCCTGCAACACCAGCTGCTTCTTGAGGCGATAAACACTGAAAAAACACTTTGTTTTTTCACCCCAGTGTTGATTCCTACAGGCTRCTTCTAGACATGGGTTTCCAAAGTTTGTCCACATCCCTGTGTTAACGTTACTCCCTGTGTAGGGAGTGTCCACAGTGTGAAATCTACTATGAACAATCTGGGCACAACCCTCACCCTGCTCTGTTTATCACTGGAAGGAAACCTGGCCACACCTGGAAAGAAGGCCACAAATTTTCCCAAGAAGAACMATACCAGCCATGGTATTTGTCAATTCTTATGTTTCCATGTACTTCTCTTAACCCAACTAACAGCAGTCTGTTTAGCAGGGTTCAGGCTTCCARCACTGAAAATCATTGCTGTACATGTCAGTGTGATGAGGCAATGTATCTTAAATTCATTGTTTGCTCAGTTTTTTGGAGAATGCACCAGCCAACACTGTTTTTTAAATCCAATGAAAAACCTCTGTGTTAAAAYTGCAAGGTCAGACATAAGCTGTTGAAATGCCAGAATTAATTTTGCTTATACAGTCCTACTAAGTCTCATTGTGCCTCTGCATTAAAATGCCACCATTTACATAATTGCAAGCTGCTTCTGGGAATGAAGTGGTTTTGCAGCATTGCCTRAAGGCCTCAGGTTTGTCTGTTGTGGAAGGTGTGCTGCAGACAAGGCAGCGGCRTTCAGGGTGGTGGCTCTGGAGCTGTACACAGCCTTCATTCTTTGAGACTTAGGAACTTGGCTTTTCAAACTCACTATGTTTTCAACAGATTTTACATGTAATGTAAAACATGTTTCAACACGGTCTGAACTTTATTTATTGCTTTTGTTGTTGGAAGAAGGGAAAAATCTGATCTGAGTGAGAATTTTCTCCTGTGAGTTGAAAACTGAAAACAAAATCAGCAAAAATGTCTTAAAATCTCAGGTCGGTTTAAAACTTTTAAAGATTTGAATTAGTTGAAGTTCTGAAAGAAGTTTAAAATAAAACTGGATCTTTATTTTACAGAACTGCCTGTATTTCATCTGGTCTAAGATCCATCAGACAACCTATCAGAACATAAACTTATCTTATCTAAAATGTCCTAGAACTTGAGCACCACCTTGATTTAGTGCATTTCAACCAGACCTATTGAAGTCATTGTGGGACCAGAGCCTTTGCTTGGCTGGAGCAGCCTGACCTCATGCAAGTGGATGCTCACAGAGTTCTCAGCCAGCACAACAGGCTCTACTTAAAGCTGTCCCGTAAAATGCAGTGTGAGCTATCCTCACATCCTGCAGCTTTTAGCCATGTAGATCCAGTCACTCATAATGATACCACGGCTACTAATGAGAAAATGGCACATTCTCTCAGGTCACAGGGCAGTGAGGCCATGACTTTTATCTATAATGATGAAGATAATCTAGGCTTTTTTTCTTCCTTCAGGAGGTATACAGCATTAATGGATCATTTTCTTGTTAATGAAACAATATGCTTTTGATAACGGTTTTAAGTTGCCAGCAACCTATTAGTCAAATTTCTTTTGGATTCTTTTTCCCTTTACAATGCCCAAAAACAGTCAACACAGATATTATCATGAAGCATTCACAAAATATATGCAGCCCTATGAACATGGTGATGTAAAAGTAGACTTAATTAGAAAAATATCACTTGGCTTCTGCTGTCGTTAAAAGGATACTGAATTTGTTAACATTTTATTTAAATTCAAATTGCGAAACGAAATGCTTAAAATGTTCAAAGAAGGAAAGGAAAGGAAGTAGGAAAAATCAAAGCTTCTTTCATCAAATAGAAAACTAATGTTAGATTTGCTGCTRGAATTTTAAGACCTGAAATACAAATGGCTTTTAAATTGAACTTTGACATAAGGCTACTTGGAAGTAGCTGATAGTTTTGATATTTATTTTTTCTTTCAAAGAAGAAAGCTTAGACTAAAACCGAAGAAAAAAACCCTACCAAAACATTTCAAAGCCAAATTATTTAGTGTTGGAATTGCTGTGACAATACCTTATGGAAATAGTTCTGCTGCTTTCAATTTTTAAAAATTGTATTTTATTTATCCAGAACCCTTTGTTTGGCTACTTCTTCCAAAATTGCTGTGGTTTTGTTTGTGAATTAGAAAAATGGTGCATCATGAGACATGTAATGTACCACAGAGGGAGGCCCATAATGAATAGAGATGTCATACAAACAYTCCCAGAAATGACTGTAGCAACACATTCAAATAGAAACATTTTGGCCCATATATTTCTTATTCTTCCTCAGCTCTAACAATTTCGAAATTCCTCTTACTGGGACAGGATACAAGTCTAAGAATAATGCATTGATATCTCCTTTGAAGAAGGAAAATATTGGAAGGCATATCTCATATGGAACAACATTTACTGTCTTGCAAAACCAGCACTTGATAGCATTTCATCTCCTCCCCTCTTAAGTGGGCTTGTACTGCTTGCACTAAGAGGCAAACTCTCTTAAGGATGTTCTTGTCCTTCAGAAAGCTCTGAATCTCCTTTGGATCATTGAAAAGATGTGCTTTCAGATTCTTGGCACCATTTTGAAGGTGAGAGTGTCTTARTGTGTTATTGTAAACAATGTTACATGGTAATTATGTGATTGTGGTTCAGGCAGCTTAACTCAGCCACAGCCAAGAGACTGCTACCTGTCCTTTGTGTTTACATATAAATATAATATGTAGTTCAAGATGAGTAATCTTAATGTAAAAGTTATGGACCAATTAGAAGACAATGTGGAAAAAAAAAGGACAAGAACCACTGCATAACTTTGCCAAGAATGAGCGAAACATCTCTGAAAATTGCTGAAAGAAARTATCTTCTTAAGTCTCATGTGCAGGCACCGCAAGTGTACTAAGTCCCAAACCATATGTCTGAACATAACAGGCCCCCCAGGGTCCCACAGCAAATCCCCCAACTAACCAARTGTTTGGTAAATTCTGAAGGGCTCTAAGATGACTCAGTCCTAGCTGGAACTTGTAGACCCTTTCCAAACTAGCATTTCCCAACTTGCCTATTCACGTTGACACTTTTGGGCTTATGAAGTTCCAAGTCTGAGTGACCTAAATGCCTTGCAAGAAACAAGTACCCACTGTCAGCAGTATCATCTGTGATGAGTTTTATGTCTTTATAACAAAATGAGTTGGGTACTTTACTGTTTGCCCTTGTGTCTTCCACCTCATTCTCCTATACAAAGACTGTAACAGGATGTGCAGCAGCAATATTCAGTCCTTCATCAGAAAGCTGTTTTTTCAAATTTCCTAAGCCAAGACCTTCTTTTCTCTCTAGAGTTGTTTGTTTCTTTGTGTGTTTTGTTTAGTTTTGTTTGTTTTGTTCGCTTGTTGTTTTGTTTGGTTTTGGTTTTTGTCTTTCCCTTCGGTTCTGGTCATGGAGGAATATTCCTGGGATTTATGTCATACACTTGACAGAGTGATAACTTGTTTGTCTAACGTCTTTATTCTTTAAAGGGTTCCTTCAACAGCTGAAATTCCTGTCTCACAAGGCACCAGCCTATGCTGTTTTTGATAAGCAAAATTACCCCAGAGGGAGCAATTTTARTTCTGGTGCATCAGATGCAGAATTTGGAGGGAAAGTGCCATATTTCCTCTCAGGGAGATTTTTTTTCTGAATCATGTAAAATTGCTTACATACAACTATGCACTTGGGTCTATGTAAGATGATTTTCCCACCAGTCTGAGAAATTTCTCTCTCACATGCCAAAAGGATTGCTGCAAGAAATGCACAACTTTCTAGGATTTAGAAATGGGATCATTGGCCTTCCTGGCCCTATGACCCCCACAGGAAAACTTTCAGGTTGTTGACTGCCATGGGATGCAGAGCACATGGAGTGACACGAGGAGCTGGGAAGTTGCCTCAGGAGTCGTTTGCCATGGATACTCCCATGGCTGCATTTCAGGCTAAAATTCAGCGCAGCTGAGCTGCACATGGAGCAGGGACACATGGAGCAGGGACATGGAGCAGGGACATGGAGCAGGGACACGTGCTGTTTCCAGCCTGCATGTGCTCACCCACAGCTGGGGACTAGCACTGCCCTGCAGCACTGGTGGGGAGGATGGGATGGCTGGAGGTGCTGGCCCACAGCTGAGTTGGGTTTGAATGACAAAGGTAGGCTGCTGTGCTGTAGAAAACCCCATTTTTTATCTTTAACATCCTACTCTGCCTGGGTGAGTTCCTAGCAAGTGTTTGGGGTGTGTTTTTCAAACCCCACAAGCCACACAGAAGGAAAAAAAGTACTTGGATGGATGTGTTTGCTGGTACTCTGAGACTCCATATGTGAGGAGATATTGACCTTATCCCACAGCCTRCTACTGCCTTACAGAAGGCAGATTGCTCCCCCACTCCCCTGCCCTGCCCCCAAACAGGTAACTCTTGAAAAGAAAGTAGAAGATGTTAAAAGCAGACATTTGTGTCAAGGCCTGCCTGCTCTGACATTGCTCTAAATTTGTTCAATATTAGTGCTTAGAAATTAAATTTGGTTACATAAATCTATATTTTTAGACTGATTCCATATTTTGTTTCAAAGGACCTAGGCTGGTCATTTGATGAGTCTGACTCCAGAAGGCACTATTTTCTTAGACCTTCACTGATTTTTGAGAGCTGAAGAGTGTGTGTAGCATTGTATTGTACTATTCAGTATTGAATCAGGACCAAAACTTTTTCGCAAGGAGAAAGTTAATGATGGGTGTCTGATGGGATTAGAGCCTCATAAACTTTGCCTGATTACTTGTCAGTCATCTGTGCTGTTTCAGCTTCCGGTAATTAGCCTACCTCTTAATGAAAATGCACTACTTCTTTTTATTTTTTTTTTCAATTAATTCCCCCCAACCCCAAAACTTGAGGTTTTGGACACCTTTTCTGTAATCGTGTTGCTGTTGATATTTTTTCCTCTGCAGTTTCATATGCGATTTGTACAAGCTGACAATGMCATAATTCGCTCAGAATTATCTGTACATGCAGTAATTGTCTTGTGAGTGCTGGGATAGCACATAGCTGGGAGGMTTTTTCATACATAAGATCATAGTGTGGTGCAGGGAAAACTGCTCAACTCRTGATTTAAATCAAATCAGAATTAAAGTGATTTTGTCTTTTTGACAAGGACATGTTGACCTGGCAATCAGTGAGTTCTATGCTGAGGGCCAGTATGAGCAATACAACACATGAACACCAACCATAGATACTTGCAAAACTTGTAAAGAACTTTGAAACCAATCCTAAAAAGCCCTAGTCCCAAACATGCCTTGCTTTGGGCATGCCTCTCCCCAGGCTGTGTGGGCTACAAGCCAACAGCCCTCCTCTGGAAGTGTGGGTCCCCCTCTTCYCACACATTTCCTGCAGGCACCCGTGAAATCCACATTTCAGGGATAGTTCCCTGCTCCCTGTGCTAACAGATGTGCCACAAGATCCCCTGCACACCTGGGGTGTGGATTCCTGCTTGCTACACCCTCACCTGCCGCCAGACACAGAGCCAGCACCATCAGGTAAATGCACGGGTGAGATACGAGCACCAAACCAGCACTGCCTGCTCCACTGTCTGTCTCCACATATCACAAACTTTCATCCTTTTTTTGCACTTCTTTTAAATCTGATTCTTTCCCAAAAAGCCTTGGTAACACTTGGTTACCATTTAATCTGGGTAACAGTTGTGTGGAACAAACTTAATAGTTATTTTTAGCTAGTGCATTGGGGGCAAGTACACTCTTGSGACTGGCAGTTTTGGCCACACGCAGTTTGGCAGCATCTTTTGTTATCCAGCCCCTTTTGCCAGGCAGAGGTGGTGTGGACTCTCATGCAGTATGAAAACCTTGCTTCCCAATTCTGCTGTTTGGGTGGGCTGTTCTTGGAAAAGGCACTTACCCATTAATGACATCCACTATCCCTGACAATCCCAGYGGTCTTGAGAGTTTAATAGTCTGTCTTTTGGGGTGAAAGAAGAAGAAACTGGTTGTTAAGAAAGCTGAATTAAAGAAAAACATCTCATCGCAAGAAAAGATACCCAGAAGATAYCCTCACAAGATACCTGAAGACTGATTTGGAGGATGTACAACAGTTGGATGTTTTTTCTTCAATGTGGCGGCAGCGGCCGGGAGTKATTGACTGGAATCGAGTGACCGAGGGAATACAGCTTGCAAGGAGAAAACATCTCGAACTCCGGAGCAGCCGGAGGGATCGAGAAGTGGCCCCGCTGTGCGGCCGCCTCCTACACACGGTGACTTTGTGTCAGCCCCTGTGAGCTGCGCGGGGTCGGGGGCGCCGCGAAGGTGCGGAACGCAGAGCGTCGGGCGGACACCCGGGGACTGTCGCCCTGGCTGGGTCTCTGTCACAGCCCCCGCAGCCATCCCCGCCGGGGCGCTGTGCTGGGACAGGGCCGGGGGAGCCCCTGTGCCGGGCGCTGTGTCTTTAAGGGCCGGGGCCGGCTCCGGGCTCCATCCTGCCTCCATCCCCGTCCCTCCCTCCCCCGGCCCGGCCCGGCGGCGCTGGGCGCCGGGAGGAGGCGCCTCCCGCTAACAAAAGTCTGCGGCCGAGGCTCCCTTTCCTCCCGCCCCGGGCAACAAGTGGCTGGCGGCGGCCTCCCSGGGGAGGCGGCAGCGGCGGCAGGGCTGCGGGGAGGAGGAGGAGGAGGAAGGCGGAGCGGCGCTGAAGCATCGGGGGAGCGCAGCGCCGGCCGCGGGGCGGTGGAGGCAGCGCCCGGAGGCCGTCCCGCCCGTCCTGCTTGTGGATTATAACTGGAGCCGCCTTCCTTGCCCTGACACCCCGGCTGGAAACCGGGGCGGGGAGGGCGCACCCATACATCGCATTTTTGATTGTTTCGCTTTTTGAAGGGTTTTTTTTCAGTGGTTTTTTTTTTTTATTTTTTTTTTTTTTTTTTTTGAGGTGGGGAAGGGAGGGTGTCGGCCACCCGAGAAGAAGCGGAGGAAGTTGCAAGGCTTCTTTGGACATGTCGCCGTGAAAACTTTCGGGGGCTGTTCCCCCGGCGCTGCCCCACGGCTGCACTCCGTCAGCCGCGGCCGCCCGGCGCCCCCGGTAGAGATGCTGAGCGGCGGCGTGGGAAAGCGGCGACGAGCATGAAGGCGGCAGGATGGGCGCGAACAATGGCAAGCAGTACGGCAGCGAGGGTGAGCTGGGGCGGCGGGCACAGGGTGCTGGAGCGGCGGCGGGGGCCACCCGGCCGGGGAGGGGGTGACCGGACAAGGGGCACCGCGGCGGGGTCCTCCTTTCCCCGGCCGGGACGATCCCCGCCTCGACATACGACACATTCCTTGCGCTCCTGCTGAGCTGCGACCCTTAAAAACACCCCTATTTTTTTTTAATTTTTTTTTTTTATTTTACTAGATAAGATTTTAAGTGCTGTCTCAGCTCATGATGTCGGGGTAGCTGCGCGGTTTGCTCTTCGAAGGCAGCTCGGGAGTTATGGCAGCGCTAACTTTGCTAAAAACTTGTAGAGCGGTCTTTGTAATCCTTTTCTACTCGTCTTTATATCCMAGGATCCTTATATTGTGCAGTATGGTATATGACTGCTTCCTGTCTGAAC